CCTGGTGGTGGTGTCGGACGGCTGGGACGAACATCTGGTGCGTTTGGAGATACTGTTCGCACGACTACAAGAGACTGGATTCACCATAAACCTGGCTAAATCTGCTTTTGGCAGGGCCTCAGTGACTTACCTGGGACATATCGTTGGGCATGGTATGGTGAGACCCAAGGACGCAAACGTTAAAGCCATCTTGTCCTTCCCCACTCCAAGGACGAGGAAGGAACTCATGCGCTTCCTGGGGATGTGCGGCTACTACCGTCGGTTCTGCAGTAACTTCTCTAGCGTGGCCGGACCCCTCACAGACCTTACCAGTTCTGCGGTCCCTTACATCTGGAACCAGAGGTGCGACCAGTCTTTCCACCGCCTCAAAGCCTTCCTTGCCTCCAAGCCTGGTCCACCCCCCTGACTACACCTTGCCCTTCCATCTGCAAATCGACGCTAGCGGTGTCGGAGTGGGGGCTGTGCTCCTACAACCCGACCCAACCACTCATGTCCTTCACCCTGTGGCATAATATTCCCCCAAGTTGAAAAAACATCAGACCAACTACTCGACCATAGAGAAGGAGACCCTGGCTCTGGTGTTGGCAATAAAGAAGTTTGAATGTTACCTCCAATCTCGCCCACAAACCACCCTAGTCTTCACCGACCATAACCCGCTCACGTTCATCCAAACCAACAAGACCTCCAACCAGCGAATCCACCGCTGGGCTCTCCTCACCCAGCCCTATAATCTACAAGTCTGGCACATAAAAGGGGTGGACAACCTGATTGCGGACTCCTTATCCCGAGCTCCAGTGGAAATGCAGCAGCTACTCTCCAGACGCACCAGGTGATCACCTCCTTCGCGCCCGAGTATGACTAGTCTTAGTTACCACTCCGGGGTTTCCCTTCTCCATATCCTGGTTGTTGCGTCACCTCCTCCAAGTCTTCCTCATCAGCTCCAGTTCGAGGAGAGTTCAGTTCACTGTGGAAAGTGACCACACTAGGATCACCTATCCTGGAAACCTACGGCACAGTGACTACCTACCATCTTCTTCAATACTCAGCCTTACTCGTCAGCCATCTCAGCTCCGCACTTAAGTATTTGTTATCCTATATTGCCTCCCAACGTCCACTTGCTTCAAAATGTTGTATGTTGTATAAATATGTATATACTGTTAAACCAATGTTGCGTATGTTTAGGTTAAGTTTGGTTAAGGGTAAATTATAGAAAGCTGAATATTTTGTTAAGGAATTTATGGTACTTTAATATACACAACAAAAACTCGCATCCTTTGTCTACCCTTTTATAGTCCGACTGTCTTTGTTTTTTTATTGTTGTTGCCTGTTGGGATCTGTGTAGACTTTTAACTATATTCTAAATCCCCAACTCGTAACAATATGGAGGATGCACTCACAACACAACATGTGAATACTGATACTAACAAGTTACAGGGACTCAAATGCAATCCCACGTGGATACTTTTACTTCTAACACATTACTGGTGTTACATTACAATACATACATGACAATCTTACATATGGTCCCTTCACTAGAACTGTTGGGAGTGCATATTGAGGATGCACTCACAGCACAACACGTTAATACTGAGACTAACAATTTTACCTGGGGTCACTACCCATCATGGGATAATGATATTCCAGATAATTATCCCCAATCATATACAACAAACACTGTGGACCATATAACTTCCAGGGGTGTCCCAGGGTAGAACACTGGCGTCTCCAACTGACGACCGCTGTTATGATCGGTGGTAGTCTAACACGTGGCGAGAGTCTGGGATCTAGCCCCACGAGGCAGACTTGCAGTTTTAATCATGTCGAATCAGCGATATCGTCCACTACAGCTAACTGATAGGTATCCACCGACTCCGGGCAGTCGGTGGGGTGTTCAAATAGCCCACACACTGGATCTGAGAACAATTTGTAAATGCGTCAGAGGGAGGGAATGATGATGACTCAATCACAAACAATCTTTCGTCTAACAACAACAGACGGCATTTACTTTATATTAATTCTTACACTGGGTAAATGACAATTTCACTGTTACAACATGAACACTGATATTCACTAAATTCACTAAGTTAAACTGAATGACTATATCGGTGGGGAACACCCGCTAACATACCTGAGAACAATTTGTATACGAGTCAGAGGGAGGCTGTTCTCCCTCCTCCCATGGGTTTATATACCCGTGAGTTGCCAGAGGTGGCAACTCAAGCACTGACAAAAATCACATTCACATCAACTACTACACATTCAAAGATGACCCTCAGTTGACACGGGTCTGGCAAATTACTTAAGTTGATTTACATAAATTGATTAGAGTTTGCACTTGCCAGTAAAGGTGGAAAAAACGTATTGACAACTATGTTCAAAATGGGCGGGACTTAGACAAGGAGCCTTGGTGTAAAACGTTGAGAGGGAAAAAAGGCGTTTCTTCCTTGGGATAACTAAACAGTTATCCACATATATTAAGTACGTGAAGTATAATAAGAATCATCACGTTTTAAAACAGACCAGCCGTCAATGTGACCATGACAGGGTACAACCTCCAATGTACCAAGGATATATAAGATCTGTGATAGATTACCTCACACGAGCCATGGTCCTTCGTGACGGGAGAGGCATTGACAAGCTCAAAAAGATGCAAAATAAAGCTCTTAGAATTAACTTAGGCTGTCCCATGAACACCAAAGTATTCAATATGAGGAAAGAACTAGAACTACCCAGAGTCAAAAACAGAATACTGTAACTGGGACCAAGCTCATGATAGCCCAGACAAAATTGCTTCTAGGGAAATGCTAAAATATATTAGTCATGAAACCGGTGAATTTAAATAGATCCAAACTACTGCTACACATATTAGAATGTTTGGACAATACAATCTGTACATGGTTGATACACCAAAGAGCTCTTGAACACATACATAACCTATAAACTGAAAATAGCATCACACAAACCATCTACAATGACGGCTCTCTTAACACTGTCTGTGGAAGGCCTGGAAGTGCTGTCATTGTGACTCAACCTAACGGTAATATAATAGAGAACGCAGCTAGAATTAATAACTGGGCATTCACTCAAAAAACTGAACCATTTGCCATACTCACAGCCCAGAAACTTGCTCAAGACACTACCACTGGCAGTCTCAAAATCACTACCCGTTCTTGATACCCTAAACTCAGATTGTCACCCACTTGTTGACGGGGGTATTAGGGTCAACCTACTGTGGATCCCCTCTCACATACGCGTCAGTCAACACGATAGAGTTGATGCCTTAGCTAAACTCGCGTCCAATATATACAATGTTGAATAAAATCTAGGACAGTCAAACAGAACCCTAAAAACTGTAATCAGAAAAGAACTTGATGAATTTGAAGCAAGTAGATAAATGCAAAGAGGCTTTAGCCAACCGACTATTTACCATGATAAGATGTATCACGTGATACATGTCTATGAAGCAAGTAACAAAATCACAAGATAATAATACTTATCACCGCTAGACTAAGGTTAGGATTTATTGCATTCCCCCGGCAGTATGCCCCACAAACAGATGTGAACAACTCTAAATGTAAAGTGTGCAGTCAGACACAAGGCTACACATTCCAACACTACGTCATAGTTCGAAAAAAAAATTAAAAAAATATTGTAAGGATAGATATGCGATGGCACAGCACTTTATCTGTGATGGGAAGATACCTCATATACTTAGGCTGTATCCACACTTCGCATCTAGCACCTAATATAAATTCTATGTACCGATTTAAACAAACAATGTACTGGGAATTGTATCACTCAATGCCATAATATCATGACCAAAGGGGTGTGATAAACACCCTTTGTGGCCTCTATACTCTAATCCTTTTGCGCTACCATTCACAGGATAAGTAAGGAGTACACAATAAACTACCTGCTCTCCACGGCAAAATTAAAATTCAATTCACACATACATACATACATACATACATACATACATACATACATACATACATACATACATAAAAAACACACACACACACACACTAACTAACTTGTGATAAAATGTTGGCTTCCTTCGGTACTGGAGGCAGGTGTTCATAGCCCAGGTAGTTGACCTTCCTAGATGAAGGCGATACACAAATGTCAAGTGGCAGAACAATTTAACCCTTACATTACTACACTGGCTTCGGGTGGATGATGATATATTTAACCTTATCGCGTGTTATAGAAAATAAAAGTTCAATCCAGGTAATGGTAAAAGTCTTTTTTAACATGTCTGCTGCATACTTAACTTTGTATAAAAAATACTTACAGCATTTTTCTCCGGCTGAGCATTTGCCGCCTTTAACCTTGCCGTTAGAGCACTTTGAGTAACATATTCCTCCGACGTCGGTGCAAGACTTCTTTTTCGGCTTTGTACCATATTTGCCATCTCTTATTTTCTCTTCTTTTTTTCTTTCGGCTCCATTTTCTTATTGTTCCCCCTCCTTTGCTGCTGCCTTTCCCTCTGAGACTTTTGCCTGTGGAGCCTCGATTTCTCAATCTGCAGAAATAACATATTATAGATTTTATCGATTTGGAAAAACATAAGTTTTAGCTCAGTGAGAGCTAAACTTTACCAAATTTTACAGTCACAGGTTCTCGCTGTCATTCTCATAAAAATAATCTTCTGGTGGTTATGTCGGATGTCCTTGGTCAAATTGCCTTTCTGCTTACCCGCACCATCTAAGTACATTAGAAAATGTGTACTTCCACCATTTACAACATATATAACGCATGCAGGTTTTCTTTATATTGTACACACATGCTAAACTGTATGCCTGTCGTCTACAAAAATGCCAACCCAGCAGTAAACTGCACTATTATTTTACTCGTTAAAAAATAATAATAATAATATAATAATAATAATAATGGATAATGATGATGATGATGATGATGACGATGATGATGATGATGATGATGACGATGATGATGATGATGATAATGATTATTATTATTATTACTACATTAGCACTTACTACTTCTTGAAGGAGTACTGCAGCAGACTTCATTTTCCTCCTGGCAGCCTCCTGCAGATGGTTAACTTCACATTCCTCTTTGCTCACACAATTCCCACCAGCATTTTCACATTCATTGTCACCCTGCATCAAAACATATTATTAACACCTCACTTATCACTTGCATAGAAAGATAACGTTACCATTCTCATAGTTTTCTATCATAAAAGTGGGCTAAGTTTTTGTAGCCAAATTATGCACTGTTACAGTTCTTCCTTTTCCTCATACCTAATACATCAGCATCAAGCTAGGAGGGGAAGAAGAAACCCTACAGGTTTATGTAGCGGATATCGAAGACCCCTTGCATCGTAGGTATGGACTACCTCCTGCCTCGCATGTGTCAACTGGACATTGGCTCGATGCAGTTGACAATAAGAGGAAAGCGGGTACCGCTGAAAACTGTGAAGCATGCAGGTGCTACGGTTACAGCTACGCGGACAGTAGTTATTCCCACAAAATTAGAAGTACGGTTTCAACGCAAGGTGAACGGTGCCTTGCATACCCGTCTGGGAATAGTGATGCCTGATTGTCAGCAGAGTTACAAGAAAAGGGCAGTTCCCAAGAAGTGTAGTCGCACTACAGTGGAGGAGGTTCCAGCCGTTGTTGGGGAAGGCCTTAAGACGCTGCAGCTGGAAGACCAAGACCTGCGACCAGTGGTCAAGTGGATGAACCAGAGTTCAGTGCAGCCAACCTGGGAGACGATCTCTGGAGCAAGTCAGACAACTAAAAACTACTGGACGCAGTGGGATGCTCTTCGGCTGCTGTAGAGCCAGTGGGTGACTACCGATGGCCTCAACAGGTACTGGCAGACAGTACTTCCCCAGAAGATGAAATCACAGATCCTGAGGGAGATGCACAACAATCTAACCAGTAGGCATTTGTGAGTGAAGAAGACCCTGAGTCGTCTGCGGCAAAGGTTTTACTGGGTTGGCATGCTTAAGGATATGGAAGAATGGTGCTGGTCATGCGATGTCTGCTGCGCCAAGAAGGGACCAAAGCTACACACACGTGCCCCACTCCAGCTGTACCATGCAGTGTAAGGGGGAGTTATTTTCCAACACACACTTACTGTGCACACTCAAAGGCAATTGTACTTGTTATTGTCAATCTCTGTATGGTGCAACACTGTATGAACTCTTCCCAAATTACACTGTACTCTAGAAAATCAAGCAACTTTAAAAAAGAACCATAGACATTTCCATTACTGAGAGACACGTTCACAAAAAATAAGTTGGTACTACTGTAATACTTTACGAGACTGTCCCCTCGCTACTCAACAAGTATTCATTGTCTTTTCAATTGCAATGATTTTAACACTGTTTTCACTTCACACTGTGCTCTGTTGTACTCACACTTGGGGGGTCCTTACATGTACTTTCAACGATCAATTTTCGAAAGATTGCATTTTTTCATAGATGTCCATATCACCACAGAGTCCTCAACCCATCAATGCAATTGCTGAAATTATACATGTATTAGATCTCAAATAAACATAAAACACACTTACTGACCATGCCTGTCAGTCTACACTGCTAGAACTAATGCCCTTTGCACTAAAATCATAAACTAGTAGAAACAACACAAAAATACAATATAATAACACAACTCGCGTTATACAAATAAATTCACTTGTCAAAACTGACGTCAACTGAGAACTAAAACACTTCCAATTGAAACCAAAACCAATATGTGTCACAATTTAAAATAACACTCAGTTACATAACCTTAGTACAATTATGGCCTTCCGGTGACACTCAGAAACAAACACTGTCCACAACACTCTTAATACGGCAGATGTTCACTGTTCGCTGATTGTCTGTAAATATCAAAGTATTAACTCGAGTGATCACAACAATTGCTATTGGTACCAGTGTAAAAAGGCACCCCCCCCAAAAAATATAACCTTGGCATACAACCAACACTTTCCTGAGATTTCACAAAAAGATTACAAAAGAAAAATAGTTACGTAGCTAATCTCTGTTTCTCAGACACTTTTCAATACTCTGAACATTTCTTGTTTCCACACTTTACTGTACACTTTACTTTAAAACAGATTTCTAATGTCCTTGAGGCAATTGTTCTAACCTAATTTCAAGTAGAGTATTTACCGTGAACTGTTTTCAACTTCTCCGTAAAACCACAGGAAAAAAAATTTGCACAGAATTACATACTATACTGTACACTGGAAAATTACGGAACAAATTTATTAGTAATCTGAAATATTCATTAGTTACAGTATCACATTTATTCCTCCTGACCTGATACCATGTAAATTACATCACCAACCGGGCCACCAATTTAAGGGGGCGGGTCTAGGACACATGGGTTATTGTTGATGAGAAACTTAACTGGAGAAAGCACATACAAGCCATTCACAGTAAAATCAATAAAAAGTGCAGTATCATGTATCACACTCGACAGTCACTCACTCTCACAGCAATGAAAGAAATCTATCATGATCTTGTTTACCAACACCTGATACACTGTCTCACACACTATGGGGGGCCTCTGGCTCTTCAAAAACATAATCTCTGGTTACTGCACAAAAGAGAGTTGTACGGACAATAACCTACTTGAAAAAAACAGATCACACAAACGAAATAATTGCTATATTGAAATTTTTAAAATTTAGAGGATATTAACACTTACTGCTGTGCCCTCTTTGTTTACAAATCTATCAATCACTTGCTTGACAATAATTACTTCCAGTTCCGGAATAATCAGAGATACAACCTAAGGCACCCAGAGCTACTAAGACCACCCCCCAAGCGCTCCTCTCAGTCCCAGACCTCCATAAAATGTGGTGTGAAGTATAAATATTTCTTGTAACACTTACTATATTTACAGTACCTACTTTTATTGTACCATCAAATCCGTTTTATCGGAAATTATCATGTAAATAAATACGTAATTACCATTGCAATAAACATAATTGCCAACTAGACATAATCCTGAAAGCTCTGTCCTCATGTTGAACCTTATTACTGTACAACCTTTGTTGTACTGCTCCCCTATTATACTTGTTTTTAAATTCCACTCTAATTTATATGTATATGTGTATGTGTATGTGTATATATATATATATATATATATATATATATATATATATATATATATATATATATATATATATATATATATATATATATATATATATATATATATATATATATATATATATATATATATATATATATATATATATATATATATGTCAGCAGGAGAGAGAAGAGAAGACGGAAATGCTGCGGTTAGCACATTGCAGGTGTGGGGTGCAGTTTCTTAGAAAATTTTTTAGAGGGGTCGTTGCATACTTTTCTCAGCACATGAGGACAGTGCTGTCTTTTTTTAGGGGGGTCGATTGTAATATTCAGAAATTTCAGTGTAATTTCAAACGCCGCGCCATTGGTGATACTGAGTTTTCAAGGTCGTCTGAGGGAAGACGGCGCTCTCGCACGTAGCGAGAGTTTGTGGAACTAGGCCTATACGATATTAAATGTATTTTACCGAATTAATATGGAGGCGAATTATGAAATTAAATATCAGTTATTAAATTAAAAATAATTATAGATCGTTTCCCAGTCTGAAAATGTTGCGTACGTCCTAATTAAGCTGTTAATCGTCTGGTAAATAAGTCACTCCTGAAAAACGTGAACCAGTGAGCAAACGTGGCTGGGGAGTTGTGAGAGAGGTCAAGGACCACCTCTGTGCTGTACCCAGGAGAGACCTATCGCGTGTCCTGGTTCCTTCGTTTATTTAACATCAGTATTAACAAGGTTCTGTAGACCCCACGCGTTATGATAACGTCCACTGGCGGTATGAGACAGGAGCAGTGAAGCGAGCTGTTTGACCATCCACTGACCTGGGTTTGAGCCACCTGTTGAGTATGGTGATAGTTGGAGTGAACCCAGCTGTCTAGGTGCCCAACTAACGACGTGACGATCGTTTGGGGTCATCAGCTCTCCTCTACCTCGGCTCACAATACCACATATCTTCAAACAGCTTAGTAAAAATCTTTTACTAATGGAAAGCTAAAGCTTCTCTCAACTGTACAAGGTCTGATTGGGTCTCTCCCTTCCGTTTCATGGATGTACTGGTGGTAAAGTGAAGCCAGCTGAGTGATACAGTATCACACACTGGGACCAAGAGTCCAGTGGAACTTTGAGGTACATTTCCAAGGTTGAGAAAGGCTAGTTTGGGCCTTAAGCTACGGGTGCCTGTTGGTTATGCCTTAATAAAATACGGAGTGCAGGTGGAATCTATGTGTTAGGTTAGGAAGCATGGTTCACGGGTATTGGTGGACTCGGTAACTTCTTAATAATAGTGATAATATTTTTGTGTGTAGTTAATACTATTTTTTCAGTTACTGATGTTGTCTTGCTGTGTGTAGTTAATATTTCTTAAATAATTTTGATAGTATTGTTTTTTAATGTCTGTGTCACTTGAAACCAGAGAATGAGGGAACTATTTTTTAGATTAGTTTTCTCCCTTGTGTTGCAAGTGATACTGTGATTTAGTTCCTTTAATGCATTTAATATTTCTTTATAATTTCAATCTCAAGTATAACCTTTGTTCCCCAGAGTAGTGTTTAAGTTAGGTTAGGAGGCTGTGTATCTGTTGGGGTAAAATAATTTTGTTGAGTGCCCTGAAGGCCTATTCAGGGTGGAGTTAATAAGTTATTATTTTTTATACCATTTTCTCAGTGCTGGATATAATTTTGTTGAGTGCCCTTAAGGCCTATTCATGGTGGATTTAATAATTTCTTATTTTATTACCATTTTCTCAGTGGTTGATAACATTTTGTTGAAAGCCCTTAAGGCCTGTTTCATGTGTGCAAGCAACATTTCTTAATACTTTAAAGTTATTGTTGTCTAATGAGGCATTGTCTGAGTTTCTATTAATTTCAATATCATGTATAACTTTTATTCCCCAGAGTAGTGTTTTATGTTTAGGTTAAGAGGTGAGCATATTGGTGTACCATTATTTGATTGTGTCTGTAGTGTTGGAGGGAATATAAGTGTCTAAATTTTACAATGTGTCTCATTCATCCCAGTCACAGACGCTATCCTTCCACGGGACACGGACAATTC